TAGTCACTGAACCATGAAAATGAGGTCAAGGAAAATGGACATATAACAGACGGAAACTTCATATTATAACGCATCTATATACAAAGTATGAAGCATCCAGGTCTTCTAACTTCTGAAATATTAAGCTTTTGAGAAGTTAGTTAACGCCGCCGCCGGATCACTATCCCTATGTCGAGCTTTCTGCGACAGAAGTTGCAGTCTCGACAATGAACTATACATTTATTAACAAAATATAAATGAAATTAAATTAATTGTTATTCAATATAAAAATAAGGAGATGTAGTATGATTGCCAATTAGACCACTATCCACAAGAGTTCAGATGAAATGGATTTAAGCTGGGACATAATATAAAGACTTAGCCTTTGTTTAATTATTTTTTTATGATGACTATCTTAATTGTATTACAGAAGTACTCGTACTAAATGACATTAAGACCCTCCAAGTAAGCAAATTGACAAAACTAATAACATACACAGTGGAATAAAGCAGCTAAAAAGATATAACCCACATTTATCACATATTCTTTGTGCATTTATAATTGACAACGAGGGCATGAGAATAAAACTTTACGACAAAACAGAAGATTTCATCTTCCAATTGTGAACTTCCCATGTTTATGTAGAAACATTCCAGCACCGCCTGCATATGGAGTGTATATCTCCCAATTGATCCGATATTCCAGAGCTTGTATTTCCCATCATTATTTCCTTGATAGAGGGTTACTGCTTACAAGGAACTACTAAACCAAGAGTCCCGACCGTAATTTGATATATTTGTTTGACAAAGATGACGAAGGCTATGTTTCAATTGTCGTAAACCATAATTCCGTCCTCTTTTTTCGAAGTTGACCTACCGAATTAGACTCGTATCCAAATATGTACTTACTTGAGCAACACGACAGGTGCACCTGTGGAGCGGGCTTTGATAACCCTCGGACCACCTGAGATCAACTTCAGTGTTTAATGGGGTTCCTGTTGCTCAGTCTTTAGTTTTCTATGTTTTTTCTTCTGGTCGTTTTTCGTTTTTTTTTGTCATGGCATTGGATACTTTAAAATGTCTTTGGTGATGATTTGAATTTAACCATTTTCATTGGTCAGGCAGTAGCAGCCTTTATCAGTACTAACTTTTTTTTATAAATTAAAACATGACGAAATATTTATGAAAACGTATGGTCCTACGTCCTTTTATTATACTTCATTATCTTTTACACTATAAAAAGAATGAAAAATTTGTGTTATTTCATCTCATAATCCTTTCACAGACTATATTTGTCAGTAAATTTATTCAAAGACGATTACCCCGGTAAATAGTTTTGCAATCTTATTTCCCGAACTTTTTCCTACTACTTCATTGGTCAAACATGAAATCATTGACTTCTCGCATGGTAAGGTAACACATTGAAACATTGAAATGCCGCAGACGACATCTCAGAACTACAAACTTGCCTTTATCTTTCGAACCAGTCAATAAGACTAGTGTATACTATTTTGGCATTGCACAAGTTCGTGTTTTTCTCAGATTGTTTATGATGTCTTTGAATTAAATCCGTTAGATGTGTTCTGATTGATACAACCCTGCCTTAATGGTCACCTGCCTCTAACTGTCACTTCCAGACCCTCCCAAACGTTTTCTCTATATAATTTAACTCATTTCAGCGGTCACCTGTCTTTCGCGGTCAGCGGTCACCTTATTTCCAACGAAATCGTCAGTTCAACTTTTAACAACGGTCATTTTAGTGTTTTTAACTACCAAAAATCTTCATGACGAAAAATATATGTTGTCAATATCGAAGTCAAAATGAAAATTGAAACCCGTTTGCAACCGAGATCGTGCAATAGAAGGTGAATTCAAATTGAAAACAGTATCAGTGACTTATTTTCCCTCGAATCTCAACATATTTCCACATTTTCTTCAAATTTACAGCACCGGGATCCGCCTTTTTTTGGTCCGAGAACACAGTTATCGTCCTTTGATTTTCGTTGTCTGCAAGTATAGTCCCTAGTGTGAACAGTGTGTTTAATACTTGCAATTTTTTTTGATACCCTTTCAAAATTTATTTCTTCATGTTTTATGCCTAAAATAGCTAGTAGTGAGATGAAATTACACAGTAAAAATATTTGGGTCATGAATTTTAAAGTAAATTAGTGATTTGGTCCAGCTAAAAAGGTTAAAAATTAGTATTTCGGAAGCTGTCAAAAAAATGCAAGATCCCCTTAACATAAAACTGTCCATATTTTGAGTTAGAGCTGATGAAGTTTTCTATAATTTTGATATAATTTGTCCCAAAAGTAGTACACCACACTGTAAACATATTATTGGACTGCGCAGGTGTGATTTTTTTAATTTTCATTTTATTGTCTAAAAGAAATGCATTACGAAATAACTGTGTTCTCGGGCCTTTTATTTCACTGCTCGCAAGTACGACAACTCCACCGATTGAAAACACTAAAACAATTTGACCTGATCCCGGCCACGGGTGATGTCGGAATCGGAATTTTTTGGAACCTCGTTTCAAAGGTCACCTCTCTTGACCGGTCACTTATGATACTCCGAAGAGTGACTGCTTAATACAGATTTGACTGTACTTTAAAGTCTTGGATGACATGATTTTTTTTATTCGTTGTAATTATGTTTCATCTAGATTTCAATAACTGCGAGTACTCTTAGGTCCACCTTGTGTCTTTTGTATATTTATGGTATTTGTTTTTTATGCTTCTTGCCAAGTTTATAAGTCAATTCATTTCCAACTAATTGTTACACTGTTTTTCTTATATTGTGCTATTACACCACTGTCCAAGGTTTTGGGGCTGAGCCCTCCTTAACATGTTTAATCCCATAATATGCTTTATGCGTCTTTTCTCAAGTCAGCGGGAACCTGGCAGTCGGTGGTTGTCGTTGGTTGCTGTCTGTCATATTTGTTTTTCGTTTATGGCTTTGTCATAAATCATGCCGTTTGTTTTCTCGTTTGAATTCAGTTTCACATTTTGTCATGTCGATTCTATTATAGCTCACTCAAGTAACGGAATGGATTTGGCTCATTGTTGAAGGTCGTACGGTGATTAATATATAGTTGCTTACAACCACGTCATTTGGATTTTGGTGGATAGTTATCTCATTGGCAATCTAAACCAGCTCCTTATTTTCATATTGTCGGGAACGACTCGTAATCAAGAAATTCAGATATGAATGACTGAGTCGGAGTATGGATAGAAACACAATCTATTTACAGGAGTTACTAAACAATCTTTTATTCTACACCTCTATATATAACTCTATTACAATCACTTTGTCCAATCGTCCGTTCGTCATACAAAATTTTCTTCACGCTATTCCGAAGGTTCTAGAGAACAGAATGACTTCATATTTGGTCAGGAGCTTGAAGCATATGATCATCGGCTTCATCAGACATATCCTTCACGATACTTTCAATTACGAATGGGTGCACATTTAGCATGGTAACGGGTGCACATTTAGCATGGTAACGGGTGCACATTTAGCATGGTAACGGGTGCACATTTAGCATGGTAACGGGTGCAACTTCTTGTTATGTTTATCATTCCATTCTTTAAAAACAGTTTCATAAGCTTTAATTGTAATTACCCTTTAATTTAGTAGACAGAAACAAAACGTCTCTATATATTTATATTTAAACACAAGTTCTTCATTTCAGTATTACATAATAACGATAGAAGTAAACAATATTTTTTATATTGACTGTACAATAGTACATTTACTAATTTTGATTTTTAACACCATCTTATCAATTATGCAACTGGTTTGCTTCTTCTCAAATTCAAGATCATTATGTAATTAATCTTCTCTTTCTTTAAACAAAAAATATATAAACAGCAAGAAGCTGCCATAAGAGCCTGTACCGCTCACCTGGTTCATGTATTATGGTGTATTGTGGGACATTGAGATCATATTCTCCCAAAAAACCTTCACGGTTTTTCATTCAATACTATAAATATGAGTAAAAGGGTATACACGGACATTTAGGCAAGCTTTCACGTACTGTGCATATTTAAATCCATGGGAAGTAAAATCCCGAGTATTGTCTTTTTCTCAAATTGTTTATTGTATTTACACGGAATCCATTGAATGTGCACTGACTGATTTTAGTATGGGAACATGATCAATATATTAGTCGTAATTTGCTTTGAACTAGCTTTAAACATATCATGTCTTTTTCACCTGATTTTTGTAGTTTGTTCTTATGTTTATTATTACACCCTTGTTCCAGGTAAGGGACAGGGATGAGCGTTCACTGACATGTTTAACCCCGCCCCATATTTATGTGCCAGTCCCAAGTCAGGAGCCTGTAATTCAGTGGTTGTCATTGGTTGCTGTATTCATATTTGTTTTGCGTTTTTTTGTTTTGTACATAAATCAAGCCGTTGGTTTTTTCGTTTGGAGTGTTTTACATTTTTTTTTCATTTCGGAACCTTTCATATACTAATATTTATTGGTTTAATATCAGAGAGTTTTTATTGGTATTTAGACAAGTGCAATTTTGAATTTTGTGTAACATCCTTTTTCCAGGTATATTTTTTTTTATAGATACTCCCGGAAGGTTAACCGTCACACGAATCCTATATTTAAGTAAGGAGATAAATTTGATAAATAGAATGTTAGATTATGGATGTACTATATATAGCTAAATTTGTGAAACAATTCAAAAGAGAAAACCAACGACAATTCAAAAGAGATAACCAACAATAATTCAAAATATAAAACCAACGGCCTGATTAATTACATTAAACGAAGATCAAACATTCATGGTCAATGTACGCCAAGTGATTGCAATAACGCAATCTGTCCCTTAAACCAAGTGAGCCAACAAACTGAGAAAAGCATCGTTGATATTATGAAATAAACATTCTTCAGAAACATTCAGCTTCTAATCTCACAAGATTGTAATTTATAGCTATCTTTTAAAATGCTAAAACTTCGAAGCAACGTCATTCATTTTATAATTACATGTACTAGTACTTGAGAGAGAAAAAGTTTAGAATCAAGTGTTGAAAGTAAAACAATTATAAACCACTTGACTCAGGGAAAGTTTGATAAAAATAGATTATGTGTGAGAGTATTTATTCTAAGTAATTAGGAAGCGGATATATTTACATTTTGTACAAGGAAATGATACATATCCAAGCTAGCCAGTGTGATGGTTGGACTATTGAATTATATTACATTTCTATTGGCATTCCATGTTACGTATTCAGAGGACAATTCCACAATACTGTTTTGTAACGGAATAAACGGTGGTTTCTGTTCAAAGGTAAGACATGTGTGTTGCAATGTAATGTCATTCATATCACACCCATATTTGTAAAGGATTAGCCATTTAATCAGTTTACTCAAACATACACTGCATTTAGTACTTAATCTGAAAATCTGAAAAGACAATCATAATATATTGAAGTGCCTTTCCTTATTAATCTTAATGTGGAATATTCTCGGGTTCTTTTATAGCTTGTATCGAAGGGAATATTTATAAAACAGCTAAAAATGATTTAATTAGGTTTAGACAGAACATACAAAATATACCAAACTGAGCTTTAACACAATACCTGAAACAAAGTACAATAAAGGGGTACGCAACAGATCAACTAAAACATGTCAAATACTAAACAGTCTGAGCAGAGTGGATAAAAAACGCTTCCATTGAAGGGGTGACAGGATAAGTATACAAAACAGTCTGAGCAGAGTGGATAAAGAACGCTTCCATTGAATAGGTGACAGGATAAATATACAAAACAGTCTGAGCAGAGTGGATCAAGAACGCTTCCATTGAAGGGGTGACAGGATAAATATACAAAACAGTCTGAGCAGAGTGGATAAAGAACGTTTCCATTGAAAAGGTGACAGGATAAATATACAAAACAGTCTGAGCAGAGTGGATAAAGAACGCTTCCATTGAAGAGGTGACAGGATAAATATACAAAACAGTCTGAGCAGAGTGGATAAAGAACGCTTCCATTGAAAAGGTGACAGGATAAATATACAAAACAGTCTGAGCAGAGTGGATAAAGAACGCTTCCATTGAAGAGGTGACAGGATAATTATACAAAACAGTCTGAGCAGAGTGGATAAAGAACGCTTCCATTGAAGAGGTGACAGGATAAATATAAAAAACAGTCTAAGCAGAGTGGATAAAGAACGCTTCCATTGAAAAGGTGACAGGATAAATATACAAAACAGTCTGAGCAGAGTGGATAAAGAACGCTTCCATTGAAAAGGTGACAGGATAAATATACAAAACAGTCTGAGCAGAGTGGATAAAGAACGCTTCCATTGAATAGGTGACACTATATATATACAAAACAGTCTGAGCAGAGTGGATAAAGAACGCTTCCATTGAATAGGTGACAGGATAAATATACAAAACAGTCTGAGCAGAGTGGATAAAGAACGCTTCCATTGAAAAGGTGACAGGATAAATATACAAAACAGTCTGAGCAGGGTGGATTAAGAACGCTTCCAGTGAAGGGGTGACATGATATATATACTAAACAGTCTGAGCAGAGTGGATAAAGAACGCTTCCATTGAAAAGGTGACAGGATATATATACTAAACAGTCTGAGTAGAGTGGATAAAGAACGCTTCCATTGAAAAGGTGACAGGATAAATATACAAAACAGTCTGAGCAGAGTGGATAAAGAACGCTTCCATTGAAGAGGTGACAGGATATATATACTAAACAGTCTGAGTAGAGTGGATAAAGAACGCTTCCATTGAAGAGGTGACAGGATAAATATACAAAACAGTCTGAGCAGAGTGGATCAAGAACGCTTCCATTGAAGAGGTGACAGGATAAATATACAAAACAGTCTGAGCAGAGTGGATCAAGAACGCTTCCATTGAATAGGTGACAGGATAAATATACAAAACAGTCTGAGCAGAGTGGATAAAGAACGCTTCAATTGAAGAGGTGACAGGATAAATATACAAAACAGTCTGAGCAGAGTGGATAAAGAACGCTTCCATTGAAGAGGTGACAGGATCAATATACAAACCAGTCTGAGCAGAGTGGATAAAGAACGCTTCCATTGAAGAGGTGACAGGATAAATATACAAAACAGTCTGAGCAGAGTGGATCAAGAACGCTTCCATTGAATAGGTGACAGGAAAAATATACAAAACAGTCTGAGCAGAGTGGATAAAGAACGCTTCCATTGAATAGGTGACACTATATATATACAAAACAGTCTGAGCAGAGTGGATACAGAATGCTTCCATTGAATAGGTGACAGGATAAATATACAAAACAGTCTGAACTAGGTGACAGGATAAATATACAAAACAGTCTGAGCAGAGTGGATCAAGAACGCTTCCATTGAATAGGTGACAGGATAAATATACAAAACAGTCTGAGCAGAGTGGATAAAGAACGCTTCCATTGAATAGGTGACACTATATATATACAAAACAGTCTGAGCAGAGTGGATAAAGAACGCTTCCATTGAAGAGGTGACAGGATAAATATACAAAACAGTCTGAGTAGAGTGGATAAAGAACGCTTCCATTGAAGAGGTGACAGGATAAATATAAAAAACAGTCTGAGCAGAGTGGATAAAGAACGCTTCCATTGAAAAGGTGACAGGATAAATATACAAAACAGTCTGAGCAGAGTGGATAAAGAACGCTTCCATTGAATAGGTGACACTATATATATACAAAACAGTCTGAGCAGAGTGGATAAAGAATGCTTCCATTGAATAGGTGACAGGATAAATATACAAAACAGTCTGAACTAGGTGACAGGATAAATATACAAAACAGTCTGAGCAGAGTGGATCAAGAACGCTTCCATTGAATAGGTGACAGGATAAATATACAAAACAGTCTGAGCAGAGTGGATAAAGAACGCTTCCATTGAATAGGTGACACTATATATATACAAAACAGTCTGAGCAGAGTGGATAAAGAACGCTTCCATTGAAGAGGTGACAGGATAAATATACAAAACAGTCTGAGCAGAGTGGATCAAGAACGCTTCCATTGAATAGGCGACAGGATAAATATACAAAACAGTCTGAGTAGAGTGGATAAAGAACGCTTCCATTGAATAGGTGACACTATATATATACAAAACAGTCTGAGCAGAGTGGATCAAGAACGCTTCCATTGAATAGGTGACAGGATAAATATACAAAACAGTCTGAGCAGAGTGGATAAAAAACGCTTCCATTGAATAGGTGACAGGATACATATACAAAACAGTCTGAGCAGAGTGGATAAAGAACGCTTCCATTGAAAAGGTGACAGGATAAATATACAAAACAGTCTGAGCAGAGTGGATAAAGAACACTTCCATTGAAGGGGTGACAGGATATATATATACTAAACAGTCTGAGCAGAGTGGATAAACAACGCTTCCATTGAATAGGTGACACTATATATATACAAAACTGTCTGAGCAGAGTGGATAAAGAACGCTTCCATTGAAAAGGTGACAGGATAAATATACAAAACAGTCTGAGCAGAGTGGATAAAAAAACGCTTCCATTGAAAAGGTGACAGGATAAATATACAAAACAGTCTGAGCAGAGTGGATAAAGAACGCTTCCATTGAATAGGTGACAGGATAAATATACAAAACAGTCTGAGCAGAGTGGATAAAGAACGCTTCCATTGAATAGGTGACACTATATATATACAAAACAGGCAGAGAAAAATTGTCATAGTAGAGTTATTTAGAAATACTGAATACACATAATCGTTTTTCAGAATAGTTTAAACAGGCAAATTATATTAAATAAAGAATGAAGTCTATAGGAAGAATAACTTCTTAAACTGATAACACCATTGGGGTAGTAACCATGGCAACAGACTGATTGAAAGGCACAATATAGATAGGGGATAGAATAGTTCCGTCATTAAAACGTCTAAGATTAAAACAAAAACAAAAAAACTACAATCTTTCAAAAGTTTTTTCCAACAGTATAAACATAAAAAAAAAATATTAAGTAACTTTTTTGCGGGCGAACTTTTTTTAAATGTTTCAAAATAAAAATAAAAATCTCAGCACAACATAAAAATTAAGCAAGTATTTAAACAATTAAAAGTACATTTACTACTTGTAATATATATTTTATTTATCAACATCAAGCACATTTGCAAGCATCCCATTCCCTTTCAATAATATCGAATTTTTAAAATTGCATGAAATTGTGAATAAATGTACGTGATATATCTTCTGAATCCCTATTTTTTGTTTACCAAATTATATAATTTGAGTTTGATCCTTACATAAAGTTTTATATTATTCATGCTTGGAAGGAAATGTTCTTCAGATATAACATCCTTATTGCCAATGTTAGTTGCAATGATTTACAAAATAATTATTAACCTCGAGAAATCTCCTTTGTCATTGTAATGATTTTGTTTTCTGGAAGTGGGTCCCCCAGATTGATTCACTTTTTAAAACTTATTTTAAAAACTGTTCTTCTACTGACTATGCATACATTATTTACCAGTAGTCTTGAACAACAACAATACTTCATTCTCTAAAAACCAATACCATCAAAGGTACAGAGAATGACATGCAAACACAATATACAAATAATACATAGTATGGTAGAGGTGAGTTAACATTGTTGTAGTATTAGATAGAATTTGAAAAAAAAACAACAGAAAAAAAAAAAAACATTGAATCTAATGATATCAATCATAACTCCTCTGCAGTCGTTGGTATATCTACGAACCAGCTGTAGGAAATGTGTCAACTTAAAAAATGTTACATGATTTTTAATGATTAAAGACCACAGGAATGTTATTGTAAAATGAATCATGTACTTCAATGAATTAATTGGTATCGATACTAAATAGTTTTTTTTCTGTTGTAAGAGCTCTTTAGAGCTGATATTAGGTTTTGTATTGTATATCTGTGCCGATTCTTCATAAAATTTACTTACCCTTTTACTTAATAAGTGTAATCTTGGAACCTGACAATAGAAACATTACATCAACCGTGACTTCATTAATTGATGGGACAACTCTCCACAAGAGACAAAGTGCCTAAGCACTTTATATCTGGTGAACAAGTATGGATGGTGTTTTCTTCATTTTGTGTAGTATCTTAAGATATCTTTTCAAACTAAATGTAACCTTTGACATTTTTTAATAAGACCTACACTGTAAATCTAAGTGTTAATAAATAGAACACTGCTTGAACGCTTTTTTGTAACACTTTTTGAACGTGTAATGGTGTTCCAAATGTTTACACTAGTGTTCATCAATTGAATGTGTGGTGTTCAGTTTTTAATGCCTTTGTGTTTCATTTTTGAACACTTGATGTTAGAGTTCTTAACACTTAGTGTTCAACGATTTAACGTGTCCGAATGTTCAAAATCTTAATACGTCGACGCGTTCAACAGCCATGTAACACTTTTTGAACACATAAAAGATGTTTAAAGCCAAAGTGTTAAGATTCAGAACACCAGACGTTAACTTTCAGAACAGTTGACATAAGTGTTCAAAGTGATGGTGTTCAAATGTGGAACATGTTCTATTTTCAAGCGTACATAATTTTCCATAAGTACTCAACTTAAATAAACTGTTATAAAAACTATATTCAATCAGGCAAAATATAACAATAAAACATATTTTAACAAGTAATTCTTTATGTAATCAAATGAGCATATTATATGTAAGAAAAGTACACCAGATACCTTATGATATCACAAGTAACAGTCAGTGAAATCACATACATAATGTTTTTAAACTGACTTAATATATATCACAAATAATGATTTTCCCCTAAATGACTAGATAGTTGCAACATCATTTGTATCCTAACCAAAAAAGCATGTCAATGTGATAAGTAGATAGTTTATGATATAGGTATTTGTCACAATGAAAGTTTAAAAGTTTGCAAATTCCAACAGTTCTTGTACGATCACATACAATGTACGCTCCACTTTTCAGTGCATCTTCACTTAAAGCTATCAACTGGGTGGCATTTTATGTGGTGTTATCAACTTCCAATGTCAAAATCTTCCACATCAAGGAATGTCTATGAGCCTATATATCCTGCAAAATAAAATTAAAAATTAATAGAAGAGAGATTTTCATAAAGCATCAAATTATGCAATGCTTGTTATGCTTAATGTCGATATATACTAGTGTACAAATTGATATTCTATAGCAATGAAATGCAAGTTTTGACATTATAAATTACAAAAGTCGATTTCTTGACCTAAGGTGAACAGATAGAAATGATGCACCCACATAAGCTATTAATATACATATATTGTCATACCTTTTTTCGAAATCTTTCTTTTTTCCACCACTTTATAGCATGCAGAAATGACCTTTTTGGGATTATTGGCTACCGGTTCCTAATTCAAACATTTTAATCTAACGATTCCTGCAAATAAAATAAAAAATGCATTTTTAAGTCAAAAATGGTGTTCCAAATGTTTGCACTAGTGTTCATCAATTGAATGTGTGGTGTTCAGTTTTTAATGCCTTTGTGTTTCATTTTTGAACACTTGATGTTAGAGTTCTTAACACTTAGTGTTCATCAATTGAATGTGTGGTGTTCAGTTTTTAATGCCTTTGTATTTCATTTGTTAACACTTGATGTTAGAGTTCTTAACACTTGGTGTTCAGCTAATGTATGTGGATGTCGAAAATCATCATTTATTCTGTATAACAGACAGACTGTTTATTCATCAGTTTAGGAAATCATCAGAACAAAGCTGACAGTTATTTACGTTTATATCTAAAGCCCGTTTTTTAATTCGTCTTTTATGTTGAATAATGAAAATTTGGATATAACAGTTATGAATATTTGACAAATATATATCTGGCATGAGAAAATAACAAGGAAGCCATCGAACTACCTATGGAGATTATTCTAACTTGTTACGTACTTCTTTTGTGTTCATATGGGATAGAAGTCCCTTCTCCAGTTCTCTTTCTTATGTGTATCCATTCTTCGTTTAACCGCCTAAATCGCCAGCCGATATCTGTTTCCGGTATTTGGTATCCTGGTATATTTTTTTTAACACGAGGTGTTCAAAATTTCGAGCAATTTGAACACTGATTAAACATGTAATGTTAAAAAAATGAACGGATCATGAAATAAGATAAACATCGACATATTTTTATTACGATATTATCATAACAGGCCTCATTGATATGCATAATTATGTCACTTATAAGTAAAACTAGTATATATAAATAAATAATAAAATAAATTCATAAACTATACATATATGCCTGCTTGGAAGTTTAATATTTCACAATTACTAAAATATTAGCCAAAAATTCACAAGATCATCATCCTGCGTATACATTCATATTTTTTAAAGAATTTCTTTTTGAATTTGCCAATTGGAAGGATAGAAAATCGGACAAACGACTATCTTCTTTTTTAGATCAGAATTTGAACACCGGTGTTCACTGCGTCTAAACACACATGTTAATATTTTTAACACAAACGTTAAAACTTTGAACACGTCTCTAAGCATGAACATATGACGTTAAAATATTGAACATTCGGTGTACAAATTTTGAACGCGTCCGGACGCGTCAGGCGTCAGGCGTCAGGTATATTTACAGTGTACAAACTATTATCTTTTCAGGTTTTACAGCCAGTGGAACCTTTTAATTCAAGTAAAGTGGCGATTCTAGACAACAAACTCAGTTCGGTGACATGTCCTCCAGATGGCATGAAACTTGTTCTGTTCGAATGTACATCTTGGGATAGATGTGACTGCAATACAACCCTGGAAGTCTATGAACAATGTTTTGGTAATAAGTTATTTTGCAACGAACTAGTCACTTCATATAGTACATTTACGTACAAATGCAACAAAGAATTGCAATTATATTGTCCATCTCATACAATCTCGACATACAAATCAACATCGAGAAAGTCGTCGACATCAACAACAACTATTTCTTCGTCTGACCATTTCAGGAATACGACGAGTAAACAAACCTCCACGCAAACTTCTCAGTCAACAAAAACAAAGATATCCACGACATTAACAACCATATCAAAAGAATTAACAACGGTGTCAAAAGAATCATTACCTACACATATTCCTGAGCCAAAGTACCCAAAAGAAGAACAGAAGACAAAAGATGCCGTGAATGCAGTAGTGATCTTTAGTATTTTATGCGTTGTTGGAGCTACTGGTGGGTATGTTCATTAGATAGTCAACTCTTTAAAGAATGCATCCTAAACTTTAACCATGAACAAGTACCCAGGGAATGTTTACAACAACAAGGGTTGTATTCTACATTTACAAAGATGATGCAATACAGATATTGTTTTATATCCTTTTTATCATACTAGTACGTCCCTGGCTCTCCTAAGCTTTCCCGGTAAAGATAGTTTCGGAAATATTCATGAAATACAACAAAATCGGTATCACAAGATTGTGTTGTATATATATAAGGAATGGAGCCTAATACACACGTTGAAGTCTCTTTAAAATTTGTCCATGTTGGATACTAAAAAAACAGTAATAATAAAGTATCGGATCAGACACAATTGATCGATCTGTTGATTGATTGCTACTTTTCATTGGCAAATATTACATGCAAAATCAGGACAAGGGCAAGAAACGATAAAGTAATATCAATATCTGAAGAGCTTCGATGATTTTTCATATATTGCACAGGTATATAATCATTTTAAAAGGTGAATGGTATTTTCGGGACGTAATGATTTCTGTCATACATGTTGACTGCTCGTCAATTACCATATACCTATTTGTTATATCAAAGTGAGGTTCCGTGTTTGTTATATCAAAGTGAGGTTACATGTTTGTTTTACCAAAGTGAGATTACATGTTTGTTACATCAAAGTGAGGTGACATGTTTGTTATATCAAAGTGAGGTTACATGTTTGTTATATCAAAGTGAGGTTACATGTTTGTTATATCAAAGTGAGGTTACATGTTTTGTTATATCAAAGTGAGGCTACATGTTTGTTATATCAAAGTGAAGTTACATGTTTGTTACATCAAAGTGAGGTGACATGTTTGTTATATCACGCATCAAAGTGAAGTTACATTTTTGTTATATCAAAGTGAGGTTAACTTTATGTAACACTCAGATAATTAACTTTATATAACATCAACATTTTTGTTTAACCAAATTGAAGTTCCTATTTATATACCAAATTGAAGTTCCTTTTTCATATACCAAATTGAAGTTCCTTTTTTATACACCAAATTGACGTTTATTTTTTGTTACACAAAAAATTAAATTACCTTTTTGTTACATGTATATCAAAGTGAAGTTACCTTTTTTTATAGCAAGAGAGGTTTCCTTTATATTACACTAAGTGAAGCCACCTTTATATAACATCAGAGTGACTTTACCTTTTTGATACACAAAAGCGAAGTTACCTTTTGTTACACGAGGTGAATTTTACCTTTTTGCTTGTTTTATACCTAAATGAATTTCCATTTTATCACACAATAAGTAAAGGTCCCTTTACGTTATACCAAAGCAAAGTTATTTAGTTGTAATACTAGTACTAATTTAAAGTTAAGTTACCTTTTTGCTACACAAAAGTGAAGTTATCTCTTTTTATTATTCCTAAGCCAGTAGAATTACCTTTTTGTTATAGCAAAGTGAAGTAATCTTAAAATATTGCACCAAAGTGAAGTTACCTTTTTGTTACACCAATGTGAATTTACAAAGTGTGGATCGTTTGTGTTATAACGAAGAGAACTAAGCTACTATTTTTGCTACACAAAAATGAAGCTAATTCTATGTTATACCAAAGTAAGGTTTCAGTTTTTATATCAAAATGATGTTCCAATTTGCTTCATCAAGGTGAAATTACCGTTTGCTACCTTAATGTTACGTTGAATTCTGTCATTTTTGTTATATCTCGGTAAAGTTTAACTTTTTGTTATAAAAAGAGCGAAGTTACTTTTTGTTATAAAAAGAGCGAAGTTACTTTTTGTTATAAAAAGTGTGAAGTTACTTTTTGCTATATTAAAGTGAAGTCTAATCTTACTTTTATAGAATCTGTTTTTACAAAAATAGAAGACGAAGAAGTAGCCAAATACAGAAGGAACATGGGGTAACTTAACATTTATTGTACACCGTGTTAAAAAAAAAGGATGAATGTTATCGATAGCATGCAAGTGTCCAATAAAAAGAAAGTGAAAGATTGAATTACTATCTGGATACCCCGGTGGTTTCGTGGTGCGGGAGGTCGTGGGTTCGATATCTGGCCGGGGAAAAAACCAAAGACATGATCATTAGTTTTTACTGTTTCACCGCGAAACAAGCGGCATTTTGGGATAAGAACAAAGTCTTGACGGTCCAGAGTCAGAATCTATTCGTGTGTCCCGTTATGGTGGCATGTCTTTCTGTGGACTGAAATTAACAAGTTCAAATTCCGGCTCAGCGTATCGTTCTAGTACAAAACAGGGTTCATAATTCATATGCATATCACATTAACATATTCTCGTCTTTAATTATATGCATTTCACTTGCTCCTGAGTGTTTAAGGGTGTATTCTTCTGACGTTTCGGTCTCGTTGAAATCTCGTTCTTGAATTATTTCCAAAACATCTGATATAAGTGGAAAATATCAATGAATTTAAAAAAAATATTATAATTAAACTTAACTCTGTGAAAAAATTGTGTATTTACAATAAGTAGTTTTTGAGCAAAAAAAATTTCAAATTTTATAACCAATCAAGTCAGTCTCTTTAGCCAAAATGTTGAGATAATGGGTGAGGGGTATAAGAAATGATTTTACCAGAAACATGTACATCCCATGTCAATTTTTTCTTTTAAAATTTCTTTGATATGTTTTTTTTCAATCATTTATAAACAAAGAAGTTGAAATAATATGCTTTTTGTTCTAAAAAAAGAGAAAAATCCAAAATTGACAAAATTGACAGCATGGCAAATTTGACACGAAAAAGCAACAAAATTTTATAAAACTTTGTTATATTAACACCTACCTATAGTTTTTTTAAGTTAAATTTATTCAGATTGGTCCACTTCATCTTTAGTGAAAGTATGAAAAAAAGTTTAATTGTGAAACTGTGATTTTTTTTATGATAATAGCCCAAAAATGGGTAAAAATTGATGAAAAATGGGAAAATCATCAAAATTGGGTACTTTCAAATGGCCGTAGCAAAAAAAGAAGTGCACACCATATGATTTTTTTCTTCACCAATTATATTTTACAGTCATATAAACCCTAAAATCAGGTTATGAAAAAAAGTTTAATTCTAGAAATTTTTGGCTCCTCAGAGGTGTACATCCTTAACAGCCACCCATCATTATCATCGGGAAGTTCTTGATTAAGTATTCTACTTATGGTCGTATATGTAAGAAGATTAAATTTGATACTTATACATAACATAAATACTTCACATAAACAATAACATTTTGATATTTTTATGATACATGAAACTCTACTGAGTGTGGTAATGAATAGGGAAACACCTAATTCAGTGTAATTTTGCGGATCTGATTCATTCGATATATTCATATACTCATTTCAGAATGATATGACTCCACCCAATGGAACATTCACATACACTGACGAAAACCACGAGCATGGAGGAAATACAAAGAACAACACTCATGAACTTCAGTGTCAACAGTCCTGTGATTCTGGCGTTGTGTGCAATGTAGAAATAAATCACTACGAATAGAATATACAAACATAAACTATTTTAACATGCCTTTTAATCGTTACTTTAATGTTATATCAAAGAAAAGTTTCATTTTTGTTAAATAAAAGTTATTGCTTTACCTTTTGCTACATCACAGTGTGCTAGTTTGCATTTAAAAAAAATCGGGTAAACACATAATGCTTTACGAATATTACGCAGCTTCCAGCAAATTTATGATGATTCTGAACATAGTGTGGTTCATTAAAATCAAGAGTGCCAAAAGTCACAAATGGTCCCACAAATAATACAAATGGTCCCACAAATAAAACAAATGGTCCCACAAATAATACAAATTCTCAAGCAACGAAAGACAAACTTTATTTCCGAGAATTGTCAAAGCATAAAAAAATGATATATCTGAAAGTTAATGAACTGATCAGTAAAATAGAACAGCATCAAACTGAGCAGTCAACTAACTAAATATGATGCAAATAATGGATTCGTCGTTGGAACTATTTCAAGAAACTGGAAGTTCTAAACTATAAACGACAACTTTTCAAAATGGACACTTTTTGAGGCACAAAAGTAAGCATCTGTTTGTTGCTCTAAAAAGAACATCAGATGTCAACATTTGTTATAATGATCTTTCGTTTCTGCACGAAATATTTGCCTCTGTACTTCATGCCATCAACAGTCTGTCAACCCAAATGATCTTGTTACCCCTTGGGATCTCTTCCAAATCTCATAAATTCAACTTTTGTCTGTATTTACCTTGATACAGCATTGTATCTGACGACTACATCGTCAAACAACATATCCGTTGTTGAAAAGATACTAATAAAAGAAATTTAAGGAACTTGATAATGATATCTCATGATTATACTCTTCAAACGCTGTCTACAATCCCTATTTTTGCCGATTTATATCCAACAACATACTGGAGATAAAAAAAAAAACCTACAGATACAGCTTCTTCCTTTACGACATAGACCAACTCATTATTAGACCCTATGACAATCACAAATGAAATTTATTTACTTCTTTATGGGGAAAAAAACCATCGCCATTGCGGATGTGATGTAAATTTGAAACATACAACATACAAATACACGTACTAACTACTAAATAACCAGACCTTCTAAATTGTCTTCAAACGTCTGACCTGTAAGTTAAAATGTTTATGAGTCGTCTCTTTCCTTGAAATATCATCGGATGGCACAAAACAAAATTCACAAATATTGTCTCGAAAGTGCAGATGAGACATATTGATCTTTAGTTTAGATTTTTAAGGTAATGCTGATAATTTAACATATTTTCTTGTAAATAAAATTATTTAAGGTTTGCATACGTCATTAGTTTCATTATCCCACCGTTTATGTTTATTTGTTGTCCCTGACTTTCCCTGGCATGAATTATGACGATTTGCGAGTCTCGTGAAATGTCTAGCAATAATCGCTTAACTCATTGAGCTTTTCTGGATATTTTGAGACTGCTTTACCCATATATTTATGCCGAAAATTCCTGTAAAAAGTCGACCTTAGATTTACAGGATGGGGTCAAAAGTGTATTACCAACTTATAAAAAATTCATAGATACTAGGCTTAAAAATTTTGTAAACCAGAAGCGTATTTCGTCTTCAAAAGACTCATCGGTGACGCTGAAAAAAGTTAAAAAGGCAAATAAAGTACGAAGATGAAGAGCATTGAGGACCCAAAATTCCGAAAGGTAAAGACAGACAAAAGAAGTTTTGGGTATTTCATTGTAAATATAGGTGAACCAAACAGTAATTCATTTTTTGTTGAAAATAAATAAAAAAATATAAAAAATATGTGTTTTTTTGGTTGTTCAGTATATTCCGATTTCCAGCATAAATTAACATTTTTAGATATCTTCATGCGTCATACTAGGTTAACATTTTTCTTAATTTCAGAACAACATGCTTTTAAGTGAATTGTCTTGGTAAATGGTCAGAAGCGGATCCAGGATTTAGAAAAAGGGGGAGAGGGCAAACTAGGAACGTTAAGAGTACGACCTTTAAAAAGTCTGTGCATTTACCATATATGTAGCTCCATAAGGGAGCCTGACCCCTACACCCCCCCCCCCCCTTAAATCCTCCACTGACGATGACAAGTTGCATTTGCATGTTTATTTCGCACAACAGTTTGAAATATGTATTTTTTATATTTATGTACGAGTGTGGTTTCAAAATACGGTAAATTTAGTATGGATACCGACATAAAACCATTGATTTTGTAACCTTTTTCAATGAAGAGATTCTTTCTATTGTTCTCGCTTCGCCAGTTTGCCCACTGATATCATTTCAAAAACTACAATTAAACACCTTACAAATTGGTCTAATAAAGGGAAACCTTTAAAAATCTCTGGTCAGATCTGGACTATGAGGTACCGACCTTTACACCTTCCAATATAGAAAAAAAACCCGTAATCACCAAAAACAGAGATGGACAAACCATGGACTTAGGTAATTCAAAAGAGTAAGCCGTGATTGTCTCTAATTATACGGCTATCAAGGTTTTATTCATGTCAACTCAGTGAAATATAATTGAAAGAAAATGATGTCATCATAGGAAAAGAATTGTTTATTGTAACAATTAAAGTCATAATGAAGACCATTGAACTTATAAAGAGAAGAAACCAACATGGGAACAAACCTATTTGTCAGCTTTATTACTATACATGTAAAAATACTTTAAAAAGTTTAGTATACAATTATTTTGCTCCTTGTACATCTCAATATGATGTACTTCCAATATTAAAAGATTCAATTCACTTTTTATCGTTAGGACGGTGCGCTGTATTCAACCTGAAACTAAGTGTTACAGAGTACCGGTAATTATTGGTGACACAGGAAATATAAAGACGGGTAGTTTATTCTAATGTACCCATCCTCGTCTCAACATTTCTGTATAAGCTGAACAATTCAGCATATGCTAAATTTATTTTAGCATATGCTTTATTTTAGCATATGCTTAAATCATTAAAGGGTATGCTTAAATATGCTAAAATCATTTCAGCATAAGCTTAAATGATTTTAGCATATTCTAAAATCGATAATTATGACCCTGATTCCGCGCCATATGAATAACAAAATATATACACACATACAAACACAATTTTAAAAATACACTGCACTGGCAAAAGCTGTTATTTGGAAGAAGGTTAGTTATTTAATTTACAGTGTAATATATGATATTCAAAAGACAATAAAAACATAGTTCAGGTTCCATCTACTATTTTTTGTTTTATTAAAGACTACAAGTATTAATTTTGAATTTTTATATGTCTAAGATTCGTTGCTTATACTTATTTTGATAGATATAAAAGAAAAAAAAAAGATCTCGATGAAATTATAAGCTTGTTTTTCGTGGTCAATAAGGTGGGTTTCAAAAACAAAACTTCTATATATTTCAATTCTGTGTATTGATAGTTTTTTGTCAATTTTCCATGTTGTACCGAAAAATAGCTTTAAAAATTATTTTTAAAGGTTATAAAAATAACCACAAGAAAAGTAAGTCTAAAACAGCATAATGATCAGTATTTTTTCTTTCTTATAAAACCAACATCAAGTAATTCCCTCGCATATTGTTTAACTTTTGTCAATTTATTTTTAGTTACAGGGACGTACATTTACGATATACCCGGCATCATCATATTAATTTCTGTCCTGTTAGCTGTTTTGTCTATCCTGTTAGCTGTTTTGTCTATCATGTTAGCTGTTTTGTCTATCCTGTTACCTGTTTTGTCTATCCTGTTAGCTGTTTTGTCTATCCTGTTATCCTGTTACCTGTTTTGTCTATCTTTGTCTATCCTGTTAGCTGTTTTGTCTATCCTGTTAGCTGTTTTGTCTATCCTGTTACCTGTTTTGTCTATCATGTTAGCTGTTTTGTCTATCATGTTAGCTGTTTTGTCTATCCTGTTAGCTGTTTTGTCTATCCTGTTAGCTGTTTTGTCTATCCTGTTAGCTGTTTTGTCTATCCTGTTACCTGTTTTGTCTATCATGTTAGCTGTTTTGTCTATCCTGTTACCTGTTTTGTCTATCCTGTTTTGTCTATCCTGTTACCTGTTTTGTCTATCCTGTTACCTGTTTTGTCTATCCTGTTACCGATAGCAGTATTGCATTTTATGTATGGAAAGTTGCGAAGGTGAAGACGTTGTAACATTTAAATAAGTTTAAATAACCAAACATTTCAAGTAAAAAATATGTAGGTAATTATATACTTCTTGGTGACGTGTCAGTAAAAAATTGTCTATCCTGTTACTGTAACCATAGAATTTAGACATGTCAGGATAGACAAATTTCTTTATTTATGAATGCTGTAGTGAAATAACTACTCCCTTTTATGCAGTGCTATTATTGTGCTTCTGTCGTCTTGGGTTTCCAACACGTGATTACAAGTATATGTTGTCTTTAATAAATTTGTTGGTAATACCCCCATCACACTAGGACCACGATCCCGTTACGACCTCAAAAATTATGAAAAATTTTGGAAGATCGTAGTGGTCGTAGTAAGGACGTGTCAAGGTCTTCATGATCGTGGAAGTCTACGACCAACTTTGAAGAGGTTCAAAACATTCGTAGTGCATTCGTGGCCAAAACTAGTCATAGTAGAAGCGTATGAAGGTCGTAGTAAGGACATAGTAAGATCGGGATGGGCGTAGATGTATCGTATTGGAATCGTGGTGCAATCGGGAAGCCAATGGAAAAGATTTCGCTGCGACCTTACAACGATTTCACTGCGACTATCCCGATTTAACTACGTCTTTATTACGCTTCTACTACGATATTGATACGATTATACTACGACGAGGAAGACAAAAGTACGCTGCTGCTACGCGCTTGCCGTCCTAAGTACGACCTTACTACGATACTATTACGTCCTAACCACGATAATTGCACGACCCCATTCTGTTGATATAAAAAAAAAACAAATGCAATAACGTCTATCTTTAGTTCAACCATGGATACACATGAGCAAAACCTACTTCTGCAATCCTTAAATCAGCTGCTGTATCGATATCGATTTGGCTGATCAGGCTACACTTTTAGTTATAAGAAGAAGGAAAAGACATACTAGACAGCGTAGGTCATTTCGGGTGCGCCCTTGGCTTTCTGTTGAAAGAAGACTCCAGTTTGGGCATTACGACCGACTTATAAAAGAATTAAGGATGGAGGCTCAACAGTCATTCTTTAATTTTTAAGGATGCCTCCAGAAATTTGAACAGAGTAAGTCCTCGAATTCAGAAGACAGACACCCGATTCAGAAAGGCATTAGAACCCGGTCTGAAAGTTGCTATTACCCTTTGGCGCTTAGCTTCTGGCGATGGGTATCCAACCCTTCAGTACGATTTCAGAGTCGCGCGCAATACTATAAGTACTTTTATTCCTGCTGTTTGCCAGGCAATTGTACAGGAATATAAAGATAAAGTTATTTCCTGTCCAACAGCCCTGACATCAATCTGTGATTCAATGGTGGATTCTGGGACTGCAGATTCAACTGCAGCAGTAGACTCCTCATCCGAACCCGTCATATTTGTTATATTTTGGATTAAACTAAGGGATTGACCCCTTCCTCTACCTTAACCTCTACTTTTAGCACCACCACCTCTAAGTGTTGTGATACCCTTTTTCACAACTGGTGTGTACAATGGGAAAGTCAAGATTTTTATAGGGACGAAGAGCGCAGTAACAACGTAGTTAAAACGTAGAGAAGTCGTGTTTCGATCGTAGTAGACTTGTATTGAGATCTTAATGCGATCGGGAAGGTCTATGTAGAAGCGTACATAGATCGTATAAGTCGTGGTAAGGTCTTATTAGACGTAGCAAGAGCGTGACCAGATCGTAACTAGAACGTGTTACTATCGTAGCGGCATCGTAGCAGGATCTTATCAGGATCATAGCAAGGTCTTGGTATGAACGTGAAAACTATGAAATATTGCATATGCAAGCCGACCATACCACGATCTCACCGTGATCTTATTTTTTATAGATCGTAGTGGGATCTTCATGGTCTTGGTCTAGTGTGACGGGGGCTTAACAGCATAGACAGGATAAAAGGGTATACACATTTATTTTTTTCCGCTAAATGTCTTGAATTTTCTTTTCTCTGCACTGTTATACAACAAACTTGCCATGATCAATATTTAGTATGCTTTAATTGTGCTTTTGAAATCAGCACTGTATAGTTCCATATACTCATAGGGAGAAACATATAGTATCGTTAACAGGATAGACACGCATTTCATGTACGCCGATTGAATTTTATTTGTTGAAAAAAAAGTTGCATAGAATAATAAAGAAACTGATCTTTCATTAGAGCCATCA